GGGCGGTCTCGGGCGGTCTCGGGCGATCTCGGGCGATCTCGGACGATCTCGGGCGATCTCGGGCGATCTCTGGCGATCTCTGGCGATCTCTGGCGATCTCTGGCGATCTCAGGCGGTCTCGGGCGATCTCGGGCGATCTCGGGCGATCTCGCGCGATCTCGCGCGATCTCGCGGGCCTGGAGCTTGAACTCCTCCTTCTCCTTGGTGGTCATCGTGTCGCTCTTTGCGATGATCGGCACGATGTTGACCTAGGGTTAGGGTTAGGGTTAGGGTTAGGGTTAGGGTTAGGGTTAGGGTTAGGGTTAGGGTTAGGGTTAGGGTTAGGGTTAGTACGATGTTGACCTAAGGTAGGTAAGGTAAGGTAGACTTCTCCACACACACGAGGTGGTGGGGCAAGGGGGGGCGACCCTCGCGTCTCCACGTCTAACGACAGGAGCCCCGCGGCATTCAAAGTGCAAGGCCCAGTGCGCGTGGGTGAGCGGTGTGTGTGTGTGTGTGTGTTGACCTTCTTGTGCAGCCGGCGCATGAACTCGACGTCGATGTGCTTGAGCCGGTGCGGCGCGATGAAGTAGAGGCAGACGTGCACCAGAGGGTCCTGCTCACAGCTGCAGGTGTGAAGAGACGCGGTTCACAGGCGTGCACCAGAGGGTCCTGCGTGCCAAAGACGCCAGCCTCAGGGCGGGAAGGCGGTAGTGGGCAGTGCGTTCAGAGCACCGCGTGAGTCCAGCGGAGAAGAGGACAGCGAACACAGCGGAAGGCGGCCGGATACGGCGGAGTACGCCTCCTCTCGGGCGCTAGTTGGGAGACATGAACACACGTCTTCCGCGTCTAGTCAGCGGGTCCTCGTTCCGCAGCCTCTCGTAGTCGCGTTCGGCGCCGGACGTCTCTGCGACCAGCTGCGCCTCGAAGAGCCCCTCCACGTGCGACGTGATCACCTGCTCACAGCTGCAGGTGTGAAGAGACGCTGTTCACAGCTGGTGAAGAAGAAGGAGACCCACACCTGCTCACAGCTGCAGGTGTGAAGAGACGCTGTTCACAGCGAGCCCCTCCACGTGCGACGTGATCACCTGCTCACAGCTGCAGGTGTGAAGAGACGCCGTTCACAGCGAGCCCCTCCACGTGCGACGTGATCACCTGCTCACAGCTGCAGGTGTGAAGAGACGCTGTTCACAGCGAGCCCCTCCACGTGCGACGTGATCACCTGCTCACAGCTGCAGGTGTGAAGAGACGCTGTTCACAGCTGGTGAAGAAGGAGGAGACCCACACCTGCTCACAGCTGCAGGTGTGAAGAGACGCTGTTCACAGCGAGCCCCTCCACGTGGCACATACGCACGTCAAACGAGTCGACCGTGTTCAGGTTCTCGCCGTAGCCCGGAGTGTCGATCAGGCTCACCACGAGCTCGTGCTTGCCTGTTCACAGCTAGAGGTGTGAAGAGACGCCGTTCACAGCCAGAGGGCACCACGAGCTCGTGCTTGCCTGTTCACAGCTGCAGGTGTGAAGAGGCGCCGTTCACAGCCAGAGGGCACCACGAGCTCGAGCTTGCCTGTTCACAGCTGCAGGTGTGAAGAGACGCCGTTCACAGCCAGAGGGCACCACGAGCTCGTGCTTGCCTGTTCACAGCTGCAGGTGTGAAGAGGCGCCGTTCACAGCCAGAGGGCACCACGAGCTCGTGCTTGCCTGTTCACAGCTGCAGGTGTGAAGAGGCGCCGTTCACAGCCAGAGGGCACCACGAGCTCGTGCTTGCCTGTTCACAGCTGCAGGTGTGAAGAGGCGCCGTTCACAGCCAGAGGGCACCACGAGCTCGTGCTTGCCTGTTCACAGCTGCAGGTGTGAAGAGGCGCCGTTCACAGCCAGAGGGCACCACGAGCTCGTGCTTGCCTGTTCACAGCTGCAGGTGTGAAGAGACGCCGTTCACAGCCAGAGGGCACCACGAGCTCGTGCCCGCCGACGGTGATGCAAAACGGGTCGAACCGCGAGACGCGCACCTGTCCACGCCGAGCGGTGTGAAGAGGCGCTGTTCACAGCCAGTCAGGTCGAACCGCGAGACGCGCACCTGTCCACGCCGAGAGGTGTGAAGAGGCGCTGTTCACAGCCAGTCAGGTCGAACCGCGAGACGCGCACCTGCCCACGCCGAGCGGTGTGAAGAGGCGCTGTTCACAGCCAGTCAGGTCGAACCGCGAGACGCGCACCTGTCCACGCCGAGCGGTGTGAAGAGGCGCTGTTCACAGCCAGTCAGGTCGAACCGCGAGACGCGCACCTGCCCACGCCGAGAGGTGTGAAGAGGCGCTGTTCACAGCCAGTCAGGTCGAACCGCGAGCCCACATCTCCCCACACCTCCCCACACCTCCCCACACCTCCCCACACCTCCCCCACACCTCCCCCACACCTCCCCCACACCTCCCCCACACCTCCCCACACCTCCCCACACCTCGCCCACACCTCGCCCACACCTCCCCACACCTCCCCACACCTCCCCCACACCTCCCCCGATCTCCCCCGATCTCCCCCGATCTCCCCCGATCTCGCACCGTCGAAGAGGTCAGAGACTTCTTGGAGTGGTCCTCGTCGCCCTCGTCTCCTTCAGCGCACGCCGCCGCGCCCGTCGTGGGGTCGCGCCTGTTCACAGCTGCAGGTGTGAAGAGACGCTGTTCACAGCCGCAGGCGTGTGAAGACCCGTCGTGGGGTCGCGCCTGTTCACAGCTGCAGGTGTGAAGAGACGCTGTTCACAGCCGCAAGCGTGTGAAGACCCGTCGTGGGGTCGCGCCTGTTCACAGCTTCAGGTGTGAAGAGACGCTGTTCACAGCCAGAGGCGTGTGAAGACTCGTCGTGCGGTCGCGCGCCGCATCTCGCGCAGCGCCGACTGCAGCGTTTCGCACTCAAGCTGCAGCGCCGCCGCCTCGGCCTAGGAGGAGGAGGGGGAGGAGGGCGGGTCGAGCTGGCGCGGCATGATGGCTGTCCACAGACAGAGGGCAGAGAGTGTGTGTCGTGTCACCACTGCACCAACCTGCTTCTCGGCGGCCAGCGCGAAGTCGCGCGCGTCCGCCGCCCGCTTCATCTCCATCCGCGTGGCTCTCGCCTGAGTGAGGCGGCACCGTCTCCGTCCTCACTCTTCCATCCATTCGAGGGGGGGGGGGGGAGACATCCGCGTGGCGCGCGCGTTCTCGCGCAGCGTCTGGAGCTCGACGCGCCGCTTCTCGTCGGCGGCGCGGAGCACCTAATGCGAGGTGTGGGGGAGGTGTGGGGAGGTGTTGGGGAGGGGTGGGCGAGGTGTGGGGGAGGTGTGGGGAGGTGTGGGGGAGGTGTGGGGAGT